AAAGGAGGCTAAGGAAGTTGCAGTTTTTAAAGACATTAAGGCCACTAAAGAAATGCTAAAGTATTGGCCCAGAGACAATGTCAAAGATGGCCTGAAGGCATCTCTGGAATTTGCAGGACTACACCCATCTCAGACTCAAGAAAATAAAAGTAAAAATTCTCTTGAGAAAAGACCTTTGGGGCACACTTTTTTGCACTAGGGGGCCTAGGAAGTTTTACAACATGCTCAGCTACCCATCCACTCAGAGGCTGCTACCACCAGGGTCCCTGGAGGCTTGGCTACTGCTTGAAATGGAGAGATGGCACTAGACCTTGGCATCAAGCACATGGTGCTAGTTCTTCAGGAATGCAGGATGCTGGAGTTAGGGCATCATGGAGGCTTCCACTAAGATTTCTAAGGAAGGCCTTGGAGGCCAGGAAAGGCATAGCAGGGCCTGAGTCCCTGCAGGGTCCCCCAGAAGTCCAAGTGTGGAGATATGAGGAGGAAGCCAAAGCTGCAGTGGACACCTGAGATTAAGAGATGCCAGTAATGTGAGACATCATCCTACAAAAGCTGCAGGAATCAAGCAGAGAAAAGCCCACAGAAAGGCCTGGAGAGAACAAGATGATGCCCTGTGCCCCAGGGGCTGGACAGGAGAACAGGACTTGTTTGCCCAACTGGAATTCGATCTAGCTCTGGTTCCATCCCTTCTCTATGCCCCTAGTTGTGTAAATAGAAATGTTCACTCTATACCTTTATATATTGGACACTTGTAAATTGCTTTTATTTTTACAGGTTCTCACAATGTGAGATTACTTTGAGACTCAGAGAAGACTTTGCACTTGAACCGTGAGCAATCTTGGAACTGTTGAGACTATGGGGACTCTTGGGAATGGATTCTATGTATTTTGCATGGTCAGATGAGTGTGAGCTTTGAGGGGCCAGGCCCAGAATCTTATGGTTTGGATGTGAGGTGTCCCCCAAAAGCTCATGTGTGAGACAATGCAAAAAGGTTCAGAGGAGAAATTGTTACTGCCGTTTACCGATGGCGAGTCCTTGCTTCCCCAAATGCTGAAGTGTAACACCAGAGAAGCTGGCTGAGGCAAGTGTAGAGTGGAAAGTGGAGGCTTTATTAAGGACAGCAGAAAAGACTTCCTCCCAGAGGAAGAAGGGGGGCCTGAAAGGTGGAAAGGGGAGGTCGTCCCTTTTTTATGTCTAAGGTCTATTTTAGTCTCCCACGTTCCTGTCCTTTGTTTCCTTCTATCCTGCAGTGACAGAAAGCAGATGGGAAGGCCAAAAAGTGGGAGACAGGGGGACTGATGGAGCTGGGGGGAGTAACCTGGGCAGGAAGGGCCTGGGGTGGTCTGATTAGCACCTCCCTGTTTGCTGGGAGCTGCTTCATTAGTTCCTTAGGATGGGTTCCGGGCCTTGAGGACATTCACTTTTCAATTTCCCCAGGTGTTGTTCTGGTTTCCTGGACTCCATTCTCGATAATGGTCTCCATTTTCTTTATTCTACTTGATATTAGACCCAATTTACCTAAATACAGTAACTACTCATCTTTAAATCTGGCTTCAAAATGACTAGGTTTTAAGAGTTTTAACCCAATCAGTGAATTAAGTGAAGTGGTAGGGTGTGGCTGCAGGAGGTGAGAATTAGGGGCATAGTGTTGGGGTATTTATATTTGTATCTGTCAAGTGGAAAGCGCTCTCTCTGCTTCCTGATCACCATGGTTGAAGCTGCTTCCCTCTGCCACAGTCTCCCACCATGATGTTCTCTCTAATGTTGTGCCTGAGGATTGGAGCCAGCCTATAGACTGAGACCTCTGAAACAATGAGCCCTCAGATAATCCTGTCTTCCTTCAAAGTGGTTCTGGTCTGGTCCTTTAGTCAAAGTAGCAAAATAGCTCCCTAACACAGATACATAGAAGCAGTTTCTTAGGCCAGCACATTTTAATAGAAGTATGAAATCCACAAATGTAATTTTATATTTTCTGTAGCTCTATTTTAAAAAGGCAAAGCAAGCAGATAAATCATTTTAATATCATATAGAAAATGCACTCACTTTACAAAAGAATAATAATTTAAGGATGTAATCAATATGAAAATTGTTGCAGTGATACATACATACACTTACTCAAACTAAGTCTCCTAATTGTGAGAGCACAATAGATTTGTAAAACATATGAATTCAGACTAGTGCCATTTGAAGTGGTTAAGTTAACAAGAAAAAACCTTTTCCCAGACGAATCACGAGGGACTCTCTTTCTATAAGCATGGTGGGTCAATTCAGCCATCAAATGCTCTTTGGAAACCTGTAATTCTCATTGTGAAAAGGATGAAGTAAATTGGGAAACAATTTTATTATTTTTCATCAACAAAAATGGGCAGATGGTTGGGTAGCATGAAGATAAAACTCCAATCAGCCCCGCAAGCATTGGGATTTTCTTGTGTGCATAAAAGGAATAAAGAGTCAAATAGTTGTTTGAGAAGTAAAAGACCACAAAGCAACTTACAAGCAGGAGGATGGTGCGGGTGGCTTTGTGTTCAGGAGATGTCTGGGAGGAGACACGGGCGCTGTGGAGGTGCTGGGCTCTCCTGTGGTGTCTGTAGAGGAGATTCACCATGTACAGGCTGGTGCCAATCATGAGGGGCACAAACACTAGGTCATGAAACAAGATGACACTTAGAAATGTTTCTGACTTGTGGTTTCCCAACTGCCTGGTTTGGCAGTATGGATGAACATAGCCATAACCAACCAGAGTCAAATTTCTAGTGGCTGTTACGGTTTCAATGGTGTGGATGTAGATGAGCATGTTGATGACCCAGAAGAAAAGAAAGAAGGGACAAGTCCATGTAGTGAGCTTAAATTTAAGCCACGCCCACTTAGAGTTCCTGGGACTGACAGTGATGGCTTGAAAGGCACTCAGGAGAGAGGTGGTGCAGATGGAAACACCCCGAGTCACTCTGAACACATACAGGACTGTTTTGCAACCAACATCGTCCAAAAATTGTCTGACTCCAAAGGATGACGCTATATGTGGTGTCAATGTGAATGTGATTGTCAAAGTATTGGCCAAGGTGAGGTGGGAAAAAATGGGATCCATTAGCCTCTTCACATGACGCTGGACTGAGAAGGTGTGCATGTACAACAGGAAGAGGAACAAGTTGCCTGGGACACCAATGCACAGCTGAGAGACGAGGAAAACACCAAACACGGTGTCACTTGGGAACATCATTTCGTTATTATGACCTCGCTGTGCTCAGGAAGGAATCCAGGACTTATGGGCAGGTGCGTACATTGAGCTACACCCCCAGCCAAGGAACATTATCCTAATGATGACTCTGAATTTTTAATGAGGGAAACTGGCCCCACAATGAAAAATAAATAATTATTCAGAATTATTTTTAACATAGATTTGCATTAATAGTCACTGTTCAGTAGGAGAAGAGGATGATGAAGTATCTACTTCTATGTGTTTCAGGGCCTGTTGAGACCCTTCCAGAGCCTGGATTCCAGGGATTCCTGGGAACAACAGATCACAGAGGTAGGTGACAAAGAAGGTGAAATTCAAGCCACATCACTGCATTCTAGGACACTGAGCAGGGGACCTGGGGCTTGTGTGAAAGACAAATGTGCAGGTTATAAGGCACATTTTCTTTGGAGCCCATGCTGTTTCATCTTCAGCCTGTGTTCCTGTGGTGTTGCTCTGCAGAGCATAATCCCTCTAGGACACAGACTACCTGTGTGCTGATGTCTTGGAGTTTCATGACACATACACTTCAGCCGAATAAATGATGGTTAAACACTCATGGGACATAGCGTTTCCCACCTGGGGACTTTTCATCTCCCTCCCTACCCATGGGTCAAGCTGCGATGATCTGAGACATCTGTGGTTCTCACACCTTGTGCAGGGGTACTGACATGCAGAAGGTCGAGGCCAGGATTGCTGCTCAGCGACCCACACAGTGCTCCACACAAATCCCATAACATTTGAATATCCAGCAGAACTGGCTGTCATCATGGTTGATAACCCAGGATAACAAAGGGACCCTACATCCTGAGGACTGCAACATGGATAAATGCTACCCATTGGTCCGACGTTTGTGTCTGCTTCTATGGGAACAGAATTATTTTCACAATGGTAATTGCAGAAGAAATAATATGGTGTTTGAATAGGTTGACAATGAAATTAACGAGGATCACATCTCAACTGCGCTTCTTGGATTTTGGAGTTTATTTCACTATTTCATTTGCTTGGGGATACTTTCTCCCACTGACCCGATTGTTCCTTCACCCGAACCATAGTCCTCCATTCCCTCCTGGACTTCTGGTCAGTTCCACATGTGTCTCCACACTGAGCAAGTGTATGAGCACATTCTCAGGTCATCTCAGGCTGCACTTCCACCACCATCCCTGCTTGGGCATGATCTGTACTTCAGTGATCCCACACTTATCCTGTTAAGGGAGCAGCACTCAAATTATTTTCTGAGCTCCCCCCTTTGGAGGAAAAGGACTGAAACATGCTCATCTGTGCCTTCCACCAACTATGCAGTTTAAATTTTGTGAGTTTGAATGGTTTGAATTTGTGAACTAGTCACAGATTACCATGGCGACCACACTCTCATTATTTAAAATGCATCTTGTCTTTAATCATGATATGATGATTTCAGGATCAACCTCAAATGTTTTGATCATTTTATTTTCCCTAGGTTCACTAAGGCATGGCCTCTCTTCCTCCTCACCCTAGCCAGAGATCTTTCTTCAGACATCTTCTCTCCTTGCTTGGGACATTTGCCATTTCCTCATTTTATCATCCAGATCTATTCACAATATTCCCTTCTATATTGATGTAGTCCACGCTCCCTCTGGCCAGGGGCAGGAGGCCAGGGGTGACATCCCAGGCTCTCATCTGGACATCTCATACACAAGCTGCATAGTCTGGGTGGATGAATGGGATCAGCCCCACTTACTGAACAGAGGGAAAGTGGACAATACAAAGAATCAGAGAGACTCTCATGAACAGCTGTCGTCTAAGCAATGCAATGATTTTTAAAAAATGAATAAATTTTTAGAAACATGCCAACTACCTTTTTTAGAAACATGCTATGCTACCCTTTGGTCTGATGTTTGTGTCTGCTTCTTATGGGAGCAGAATTAGTTTCACAATGGTAATTGCAGAGGAAATGATATGATTTTTGACTCACTCTTTCGAGTCATGAAGAAATAGAAAATCTGGGTTAATTCAAATGAGTAAGATGGAATCTATATTTTTAAATTGTAGATTGATGATAAATCTGGGACAGGAGTGTTTCAATCTGAGTTTTATCAAACATTTAAAAAATAATAATAATTCTCTCATACATTTAAAAATAATAATAAAAGCACAAAGAATAGTTCCAAACTCATTTTGCAGAAATACTGTATCCTGAATCAAAAGCTTGACAAGGACACTATGGGGAAAGAAAATTACTGCCCAATATCTCTGAAGGACATGGTTGCCAGCAGCCTGAAAATTTATAGCAAGCAGAATCCAACAGCACAGTAAAAAGATCATTCACCCTGATGGACTGGGATTTACACCTGGGATGAAGGATGGGTCAGCACACAGAAATGAGTAAGTGGGATGCTCACATGAGCAGAATGAAAGGTGAAGACCAGTGATCCTCTCAAAGTATGCAGAAACAGCATCCTCAATTGATGTGGAAATAGC